AGTGCCTAGCATAAAGTAGGGCTTAATAAATAAGTGAACTGAACCGAAGGGACTGCAACCATTTCTACTGCCCTAGAAGTCCCCCCAACCCTACTTTGTTCCAATCAATCAACAAGCACTTATTAAGCACCTACTAAGTGCCAGGCACTGTACAGATACTGGGGATACAATGCAAAAGCAAAACAGCCACCCTCAAGGAGCTTACGTTCTATCAGGAGATATAACAAGCACATTTTATAGGTATATTCAAAACATATTCAAACAGATACAAAGTAACCTGGTGGAGCTGGGGTGTTAGCAGTGTCAGGGTGCAGGAAAGGATTCATGGACAGGTTGATGAATAATAATAACAATAACATTTATATAGTGTTTACTATGTTCCAGGCACTATGCTAAGTGTTTTAATAATAATAGTAATGGTAATTAACATTTATATAACACTTACTCTAGGAACATAGCAAACACTTTACAAATATCTCATTTGATCCTCATAACAACATAATAATAGCAAGTGCTACTATTATTACCATTGTACAGGTGAGGAAACTGAAGCAACTGGAGATTAAGTGACCCACAATCAGTAAGTGCCTGAGGCTGGATTTGAACTCAGGTATTTCTGATTTCAGTCCCAGTGCCCTCTTCACTGTACTACCTAGTTGCCTGCACTGCAAAGAAGGCAAATTGCTCCATCAGGCTATAAATGTGAGCACATACTATTGGAAAATGGCAGTGATCAATATAGGGTTACCACAAACCTTTAGTCTACAAAAAATGCAATATCTGCAAAGTGCAATAAAGCAAAGCACAATAAAATGAGGTATGCCTGTACCTCAGTGTTTTTTCATGTTACTTCTCATGTTCTTCATTGGTTTCCTGTTTCACAGATTATTATTTACTTATGTTATGAAAACGATGGGTAGGACAATATTGTCAGTATATTGTCAATAGCCAGAGTTCCATGGCCCTGATCCCACTATTGATTGGCACAGGAGTTTGACCTGCTCCATTTCTGTCATGGGCTGGTTCACCCCAACTTATGTAACCTGGTTGCTCCCCCTTTCTCCAAAGCTCATTATATTAATGCTGAACTCAGTGTAGACACTTAATTATAGCTACCACAGCAGCACAGAACTCCTTAGAGCACCAGCCTTAGCCTCCCTGGCAACTAAGATGACAGATTACCATGTCCAGCCTTCTCCCATGTTTATTGCAGGTAAACCACACAGAAAATGAAGGGATAAGCTTTACCTGGGATGATGTAGCTCTGTGGAAGCTCTTTTCGCTATACAATGTTCTATGCAGAACCTATACCCTTTTCTGATTGCTCAGGACTCGCCCTTTATCTCTGGACAATGGGACCCTGCAGTTCACCTCCTAACATCCTACTTTTCTAAACTCTGACATCAGGCTCAGCGCCCTATGAGCAGTATTCTGGTATGTGGTAAATGCTCCATAAATGCTTTTTTATTCACTCACAAGCCCAAATCTGCTGTTACCACCCCCTTTTCCCAGTGATATTATCCTGGCCCTATTCTCTTTTAGTCCCAATTATCTACTCTCTGATCCTTCCATTGTTTTTTGTTTTCTTTTCCATCCTTAATAAACTCTTAATTATCTGGGGGCTCTTCCTTTTTTGCTTATTCCATTTCCCCCATGAATTTGAACCTGGCTATCTCCTGAGGACTCCATGTTACCAGCTATACTCAAGATCCACTACAATCTGACTGTATAGCCTATATACTCAATCTTATCTCATGTTATTCCCCTTCTATGTCCTAGCCAGTCAGGACAATTATCTGTCCTCCATTTTTACCTCTTCTCTCATGTCTCCATGCTTTTGCTTTTGCTCTAGCCACACCAGTCCCTAAAATGCACCTCCTCTCCCCTTGCATTTTCATCTGTTGAACTGTTATTTTTCCTTTAAAAACTTAACTCAGATGCCACCTCCTCCATGAAGCCTTGTCTGATGCCCCAGATCATGATGATTTCTCCCTCTTCTAGACTGCTTCTGCACTTACTGTCTGTATAATTATCAACCTCTCTGAAGTGTTATGTTTAAAATATATCTATTTTCTTTCTCACCAAGTAGACTGTAAGGTTTTTGAGGGCATGGATACTTATACGTTTTTGTATCCACCAGGGTGCTTCCCTCACATAGTAGGTGATCAATAAAAATTTGAAGTCAATCTCCTGGCTTGAGGCATTTTGTTCCTTGTTTGTGATGGGGAATTGTCTTAAGATTAATGGTTCTTTGGCCCATTTTTTGGGTGATTTTTCCCCATGGATTCTTCCCATTTGGAGAAAAGCAAACCAAATTTCAGTGTTGAACACTGTTATATCTTGCTGGTTTTTTAAGAGCTCTATTTGCTAAAATGCAGTGGCAATTTAAAGAAGGCAGCACAAAGGCTGCCTCTGCCCAAGGTAAAGTGTTTCCCAACAGAGCCAACATTTTAGTTTTGGTCCAAGGCTCTGCCTCATCCCCTCCCACCCCCTCCTCTGTATTGTTAGTCAATAGTCTCATCACTGGACTAATTCATAGCCAAATAGAAGCTTTTGTTCATTTGTGAAACTGGTTGGGAATGATTCATTGCCAGTCAGAAATGTTTTTCACTTACTCCACTAAAGTCCTTCTCCAAGGCCTCACTCTAACATGCAGGTGACTGTGGGCTCTCAAGGCTATGGTGGCATATCACAAGCTCTGGCAGGTCCTATATTATTTCCTACAAATCGAAAGGCTTAGCTTGTGAATATGATAATGGATTGTGGGCCTTTTCTTCCAAGAAAAAGCCCAGACAAGTTCAGAGAGGCTCATTGCCAGAAGGCTGCTTACCAGGTGATGATTTCTATTTTTTGGGGGGATGAGGGGAGGAGATAGTTACTTGATATGCTCTTTACTAAGCTGAAGGAAATATGATTTGCATCTGTGATAATAATGACTCTCACAGATAGAGCACTAGATCTGAGTTTGACTCTTACTCCAGACATTTACTGGTTAGGTGACCCTGAGCAAGTCACCTAAATTCTCTGGGTCCCTGTTTCCTCATTGATAAAATGAGGGATTGGACCTGATGGCCTAAAAGTTCCCTTCCAGTTTTAAATCTGTACTTCTATAACAACCCTGTGAGGTATGTAGTGTAAATATTATAATTTTCATTTTATTGAAGAGTCAACAGAGGAATGGACAAATTAATTGGTCTCCTTAAAGTTATCTAGTTAGTAGTATTAGAAGAAATGGTACCCACAGGATCCCAGATCAGATTTTCCCTTCATGTAATCCCCAAATTTTTAAACAAAGTTCAAACTGGTCTCTAGTTAAGACAACTGCCTCATGCAGCAGCACACCCTGGTTTATTTATTTCTTGGCAAAATGCTTATTTGCTATTGTGTAGGCATATAGGCATAGGGGATAAATCCTCAGAGCAGGTAGGAGCCCTATATATTGATGCCTCTATATGGATGCAGACTTCAGGGCACAATGGAAATCAAAATTTAAACCCCATTTTCTCCCAAGATGCAGGGGACTTTTCTCAGGGTTGAATTCCAATGAATATTTTTTCTTTCCTCAGGATGCTGCCAATTCCATACTGAACTGTGTTATGAAAAGGCTATTCTGTTAGTTAAGTGTGAAATTGTAAACCTTTGTTTGGAAGGTTTCTTTGGCGTGAGCCCCCAGTGGTTGTTGCTTTAGAATTTCTGTAGAATGTAAATAACTGTGGCTATAGCCTACATATTTTGGATTTCTACTGTGCATTGCAAAAGTTTAGCTCTCAGGGAAAATTAAAGGTCTAAGGTTGTGAAGGAGCAAGTCTGTCCCCTCCCCGCCTTTTGCTTGCTTGATGCAATTTCTTCTCTTTCTAATTATTTAAGCCATAGCTATAGAGATGTGATTTGCCAAGTGTGATTACTGTGCTGTCTCAGTAGAGGGAAAAGACCATAGCATCAAAGATCTTCGATCTATAAAAAGGTCACCAATCTAACAGAAGAGACAGTAGAGGTTATCCAATCTAACCCCTTCATTTTTAAAGAGAAGACCCTGAACTCCAGAGAGGCCACTTAGGTTATAAGTGGTAGAGCCAGGATTTTCACCTGGGTCTTCTGAATTCAAACTAGGCACTCTTCACACTGTGTGACGTTACCTTCTTTCTCTGCCACGTTTCACATAAAGCTCTTACCTGGCTCAATGTTGAGAGAATAACTGTCTACGTGCAGATTGAGCTGTTGGGCTGCAGTGGAACAAAACTCCTCCAGTACACAATGCACTGCTTCCGTGATGTTGTAAGGGACTGACTTTGCAAACTTCATCTTACTATTCACGATCACGCTCCCATTTCTGAAGTTCAGGATCTCCAAGTGCTTAAATCCTGTAAGATTGGAGCGCAGATAGGGAAGCAGCTGCAAAGCAAAAAGTGAGTTTACTTTTAACTGTTTTCTAAGTGCCCCGTTGCTGTTAATTCCACTTACACTCATTTTTCATTACCTGTGGCATAAATTGTAAGATTTTTTTTTTTGGTTGGGGATTGATACTAGAGCGGAGCACTGTTACTTAGTGTTCTATTTGCCATGATTACACCCAATATTTACCTCTTTCTTGTATATGGAGATGGATGGACGGTAGTTTTCTTCATGATGGATTGTACAGAGTAATTTCATTTTTTTTCATAAAGAAAATACTTAGCAGCAAGACTAGAAAGTCAAGTTCAGTTAAAGATAATATAGGTACAATGTACTATATGAGGCAGAAGACCAGATTTCTTAGAATCCCAGTGAATGGGACACAGCACAAGTAAACTCTTAGAGAGCAGACACAATTTCATTATTTTTTTTGTGTTCCTGGAGCCCAACACAGTGATTTGCACATTTTTCTTCAGACCGTATTTGTGATTTCACTGTTTTAGGGAACCGTTAATGAGAAAATTCCCTTTACCAGTGCCTTTTACTTGCCCTGAAATTTAGAGTCTTAGAGAGCTGCCTGAGGGTTATGAGAAATGCTCACTGTTACACAGTTGGCATATTTCAGAGGTGGTCTTAGACCCAGGTCTTCTTGACTCTTTCTTGGCTAGTGAGGTTGAGTTTGATTTCTGAGAAAATTCTAGAACAGATCATTAAAGAAATGGATAGTCTAGATAGGGAAGCAGAGATTATAAAGAGCTAGCATGGCTTTATCAATAGTAGATCATATCAACCTCACTTCATTTCTTTTGTTTCCAGGATTGCAGGAATGATGTAGATGTAGTTCACCTAGATTTTTGTGAAGCTTTTGACACATATCTCATATTATCTAGATGACAATGCAATCAGATATATTCAGAACTGGTTGTACAATCAGTCTCAAAGAGTAGTTGGTTCGGTGTCACCGTGGCAGGAGGTCTCAAGGGCATACCCCAGGCATCTGTGCTTGGTTCTGTGGTATTTAATATTTTTTTTTATCAATGACTAGGACAGAGGCATATATAATATGCTTGCCCACTTTGCAGGTGACACAAACCTAGGAGGAATAGCTAACACATTGGATAACAGAGTTGTAGCTAAGACATTGGAAAGCAGTTGGGATTGATTTTTTTCTTTTTTAAATTTAATTATTTTATTTTTAATTTATGGAATAAAACAAGCATAACATATAAAAAGATGATTGCAAATGAAACTGCAAGTGTATTATGTACAACTTGCTATTCCTTTTAAATACATAATAAAGTTATCATGTAAATTTCTTCCCCCCTCCAAGATGGCTATCATACACACACACACACACACACACATATATATGTATCTATAATATATACATAGGTGTATATAGGTAATATTATTCCATACATGCTTCTACTTATCAGTTCTTTCTCTGGATGCAGATAGCATCTTTCTTCACATGTCCTTTTTAGTTAATTTGGGTATTTATAATAGTCAAAATTGCTTATTTGCTCAAAGTCATTCTTAAAGATTTATCAGGCTGGAACATCAGGCTGAATCTAATAAGTACTCAACAGGGATAAATGTAAAGTATTGTGCTTTGTCACAAAAACAAATCAGATCCACAAGTACAAGATTGGGGAGGTACGGATAGCTAGCAGTTCTGAAGAAAGTCTAAGGGTTTTAGTGGACTGCATGATCCCTATGAGTCTGCAGTGTAATAGGGTGATCAAAAAAACTAAACGTGATCCTGGATTGCATGAAGACACACAGCTTCTGGGAATGGGAGCTGATAATGCCACTGAATTCCACCCTTATCAAACCTCATTTGAAGGACTCTATTCAGTTCAGGGTGTGTTAAGAAGGGCACTGATAAGCTGCAGAGTGTCCAGTGGAGGTCAGCCAGGATGGTGAAGGGCCTTGAGTTCATGTCTATAAGGATCAATTGAAAGAACTGGGTCTCTTTGTCCTGGGGAAGAGAAGACTCAGGAGAACATGATAGCTTTGATTAAGTATTTGAAGGGCTATCACTTCAATTTGCTCTATTTAGCCCAGAGGACAGAACCAGGAGCAATGGGTGGAAGCTTCAAAGTAGCCAAATTAGGCTCAATGTCAGGAAAGACTTCCTAATGATGAAAGCTATCCAAAAGTGAAGTGGCTTGCCATAAGGGGTGGTGGGTTGACTTATCATAGAGGTCTTCCTGTAGAGGCTGAACTACCACTTACAAGGAATGTTATGGTGGGGATTCCTGTTGTGTATGAATAATACTAAATTGCAGTAGCTAGTGGCTCAGTGAATAGAGTGCTAGTCCTGGAGTCAGGAATACTTGAGTTCAAATCCAGCCTCAGACACTTACTAGCTATGTGAACCTGGGCAAGTCACATGATCTCTGTATGCCTTAATCCACTGGAGAAGGAAATGACAAACCATTCCAGTATCTTTGCCAAGAAAACCCAAGGATAGTATTGCTGTTATTGCTGTTGTTTATCCCTTCAGTCACATCCAACTCTTTGTGACCCCATGGACAACATCAATAACAACAAAAGACTAAATTTTATGGCTGTTGGAGGCCCTGCCAACTCTCAAATTCTGTAATTCTATCTACTATGACATGACCATTCCTTGAAGATAGTAGGCATTTAATAATTCCTTTATGAGTGAATTAATGAAGCAATATATCTAGAAGCATCCACTTGGAAATATCATGCCTTTTTATTCCTCCCTTCCCCTACCCTGTCCTAAAGATGGCTACCATTACACACAAATAGGTATACATTTATATAAAATTATTCTATATATACTTCTGCTTATCAATCCTTTCTCTGGATACAGACAGCATCTTTCTTCATATGTTCTTTATAGTTAATTTGGATATTTATAATAGTCAAGATGACTTATTTGCTCAAAATTGTTCTTAAAACAATATTGCTGTTACTATATACAGTGTTCTCTTCATTCTGCTCATTTTGCTCTTCATTATTTCATGTAAGTGTTTCCAGGTTTTTCTGAGAACATCCTACTCATCTTTTTGGATAGCACAATAGTATTCCATCGCAATCATTCCGTCACCACAACTTGTTCAACCATTTCCCAATTCATGGGCATCTGTGCAATTTCCAGTTCTTTGCCACCACAAAGAGAGAGATGCTATAAACAATTTAGAACATATAGATTCTTTTCCTTTTTCCCTAATCATCTCTGGAAATAGACTTAGTAGTGGTATTGCTGGGTTAAAGGGTACAGGCAGTTAAAAACTCTATGGGCATAATTCCAGATTGCTTTCCAAAATGGTTGGCTTAATTCACAATTCCACCAACAATGAATTAGTGTCCCAATTTTTCCACATCCTTTACGACATTTTTTGCCTTCCTCTTTAATCATTTTAGTCAATTTAGTAGGTGTAAAATGATATCTCAAGATTGTAAAATCAACAAAGCTTTAACATTTGCATTTGAAGTATTCTAGGTACTATTAAGGACTCTAGTAATTGTGTGAGGTATCGTATTTTTGTGTTTACCCAAAAGAGTGGTAAAGTGAGTGACAACAGGTAAAGATACTGGGCAGAAAAATACTAGGTTCAGATCTCAGCTTGTCCATTGACCAGCTCTGTGTGGCCTTGAGCAACTCACTGATACTTTCTGGGCCTCATTAGCAAAATGGGAATGACTTTTGCATGTGCCCCCTTTGAAGAGTTGTTCTGAAGAAAGCATTTTATGAATTGTAAATATATTTTATTAAATTAGGATAGGGACTGTACCTGTGATTTTGCTGTTATGGAGAGCTCCTTGATAAGAAAAACCCCTTCTACCAAAGCAGGTTTACATCTTCTCTGTGACTTATGCATAGAGCACTGAGAAGATTCTATTCTACTATATAAGTTCAGCAATTAGGACTTGATGGCCTCTAAGGTCTCTTTCAGTTCTGAATCTATGATCCTATTATAATTGGAAAGATCACTGGCCTAGTAATCACCAGTTGTTTGACCTTGGACAGACACTTGGGCCTCTCTTTCTTCACCTATAGAACAAGGCTGATGATTGGACTTCTAAGATGTATAAAAATTTATGTTCTTTCAAAAAAAATGTCCAAATCAACTCTTTCAAATGTAGCATTTGTCTGGTTCAACTTTAGAGCCCATTTCTAAAAAGACCCCAAAACTCATTTATATACTGCTTTGAAGTTTTTGTAGCACTTTCCTCAATATATTTGTGAGATGGGTATACAACTGTGATACCCATTTGATGGAGCTTAGATTGAAGCTCAGAGAGGAAGGAAGGAAATGAGCATTTATTAAGTGCCTACTATATGTCAGATACTGTGCTAAGCTCTTTATAAATATCTCATTTGGTCTTCACAACAACCTTGGGAGGTAAGTGCTATTATTACCCCCATTTTACAGCTAAGGAAACTGAGGCTGATCAATTCATGTTCAAGTCAAGACTCACCCTCGTGATGTCATTGGTCCTCTTCAAGAAAGAAAGATGTGCAACAACAGCAACATGTCAGGTCGCTTACCCAGAGTTACACACCTATGAAATGCCTTAGGTGGGATTCAGACTTGGGTCTTCTAACTCTAGACCCAGTGAACTATTCCCTGCACCACCTAGATGCCTTGAGCTTAGGTAACATGTCCAAAGTCACTTAACTGGTAAATATATGGACTGAGATTTGAATCTAGGTACCCCCAACTCTGTGTATGGCAAAGACTCTTTCCATTCCCTCATGCTGTATCTCTCAAAGATGTTTCTTAAAAACATCTTTTAAAAGATTTTTTTAAAAAAAATGCGTCATTTTTTGGCTTTTTGGCTTTTAAAACTCAGGCCATTTCATAAATTATAAGTATCCACATGGAGAACCTGCTGTCATCCAGGTTTTTGTTTTCATGGTTAGTCAAATTGCTATTTGAATTGTATAATAAAGTTGGTTTTATTATTTTCAGAAGTACTAGGGATTTGGTACATAGCCCATTGCTGTTTTTTTCTAGTAGAATATAACTCCTTTGAGAGGAGTGATTATTCCATTTTTATATTTTCAGAGGGTTACAGTGCCTTGCACATTGTTTTGGGGAGAGGGGGATTGGGATAGTTCTGATCCAAGATTTCATCAGGGTAGAAAACTCACTCTAGTGATGCAAATCTGCAACTGTTCTTTGACTTAGAAGCCTAGAGAGCTGTCTAAGGTACTGAAAAATTAAATTACTTGCTCAGGGTAACACACTCTGTGTGTATCAGAGGTGAGATTTGAACTCCGGTCATTTCAATTTTGAGGTCAGCTCTCTATCTACTATATATACCATGCTACCTTTGTTTTACACAGAGGCTGATAAATTATGGTTTAATTGACTTTAATTTTTCATATAATATTCTTAATGATTATGTCAAGACAAATTAAGAGAGATAAGCTTGATGTAAATGGAGTTGGTCTCAGAAACCTGGGTTCAAATCTAACGTCTGACTTATACTATCTTTGTGACCCTAGGCAAATCACCTATTGTCTCAGTATTTTAGGGAAATATCTAAGACTATGCATTGCAGAGAAGTCAAAAACTTGCATTTGTAGAGTTTCCTCATCTGAGAATTTCTTATCCTACTGAAATCATAGGTTTTATTACCTACCCCCAAATGGAATAAGAGGTTTTATGCCCCAGTGTCTGTGTTGCCATCTCCACCCAGGTCTGTATGATAGATCAGGGCGATCAACCATTTGAGCTCTTTTTGTTTGACAGAAATTTGGAAAAACCATTCAGTATGCATTTAATTGTGTTCAATCAAGCTTTGAACACTTTCTGTCAGATTTTCTTGAAGCCAACTTGTGGCATTACAAATTAGAAGGAACTCATTTATAAGCATTGTTTCTAGATCCCACGCTTGGTTCACTAGGAGAGCTTTGATTATTTTCTGGAAGCCAAGCTAGGCAGAAGTGTTACTAAATAGTCTTAAGTATGAATTTCATTTCATTAGACTGGAAGGCAGAGCTTGCCCTGGTTGTTTACAAGGGAAGCTCACTCGACTGATCTGATCAGAATGTCTTCCATCTGAATGCCTTCAGAAGCAGCTGTCAGAGGAGCATGTTTCTTCTAACCTGGACTGCTATCCAAGCCAGTGATTATATTATAAAGTAACAAAACAACAAAGCAACTGGAAGAATTTTAAGGAGTTCACTCACCAGCTGCATGAATTGTTGCTCCAGGTCTTGGTATTCCTGAGAACTCCTATTGAAGAGGTCATTAGAAAAGGGCACATTTGTGACTCTCAGGCTGAAGAACACTACTAATTCTTTCCCTTTTGTGGCTGTGGTCATAGAGCTAGTAGTAATGTATTTTAAGGTGGTGGTTAAGGTGGTGTCTACCGAGCTGGCTTCTGGGGTAAAAGCATAGCCAACGTCCACCATTGCCTCATCCATTCTGTCAAGCTCTTGGGTGCTGTCCTGGGTACCTGAAATGGGTGTGCTGCTTCCTGCAGTACCTGAGGAAATTGTGGTTTTGGAAATAGATTGACCATAGAAGGGACTGGCTACCACTGGAAGCAGAGTTGTTTGATCAATGGCAAATGTGCCTGCTTGTTCAGGTTGAGAGAATTCATTCCATCCAGTGAAAAATGGCAAAGATTCCATTTGGGTGGGAGATGCTGGGCTGAGAGTAAACCAAAGACTGCCTGTGGTTTCTACAGAAGCATCACCTGATGATTCCATTATACTTGGAAGTTCCCCTAAGAATATAAAAAGAATAAAGAACATTTCAAGTCAATTACGTATTAAAAATACAAAACTTTTTCATTTGAATTTTTAGAAGTGAATTCCTTGTGTTTAAAAACTAGAGCAACCATATATTTTTTCATCCATGTCCTATTCCCTAACTGTATATGTTTCCCAAGGATCTATCCTGGGCATCTTAATTTCTCTTTTTGTGTGTTTTCTTGATGGTTTCATCATGTCCATTGAGTTTCATTGTTATTTCTACATAGATGACTCCTAGATCCAAATATCCAGTGCTGGTCTCTCCTTAGCTCCAGTACTACTCTGTGTAGTGACTAACTCTTAATAGGTAATTAATGAGTCCTTATTGATTGCTTGTTTTTCTATTAACTTAATAAATAAAATTCATTTGGAATATTGTCCCCACAGATGGGGATTCTAGGATGTATGAATGTGTGGGTGCTATACATATTTGAATGAGAAATACTCATATTTAATTAATTTATTTATTATTTATTTATATTTTATTTATTTATTTATTTTTATTTATTATTTTAAACTTTTATTTAGTTTGAATCTGTGATTTCTTCAAGGTACAGAATTCCTGACATGGAAACTGCCCACCTCTGTAGGTCAACAATCACTTTACTGTAACTTTAAAAAATTTAATCTATGATTTCATTCATGTAGGGACTCCCTCTAGCAATGCAAAGTGATACTTGCTCTGAAACTTATCTTCAATGTTGCTTAGTAGGTCTGAGAAGTTAAAAGTCTTCCCCAGGGTCATAGCTAGTATGCATCACAGGCATAGTAGCTTGAACCCGGGCTTTCTTGACTCTGAGGCTGGTCCTCTACTCATTATACCAATCTGTCTTTCACTTTTATTATGTTTTCTAAATAACTTTTGTGAAGGAGCCATCTGGATTTTTCAACATTTAATGATCCTGTCACTTGACATTGACTGAAAATTTCAGTAGCAGTTCTGAGTTGCTTTCTTTGATCAGTTTCCACTGGATCATTGAAAAGCATTCCCCTGATATTGCAGTATTAGAGTCAATTCTACTTATCTGTGAGCCTGAAATAATAAATAAAGCTCTCACAGAAAGATGTGGTGGGTTATGAAAAATAGTCCAGCATTCATAAATCAAGTACACCACATACAGGTTAAAAGATTGTGTGGATCCAAATAGCAGTACTTCTGTTATTGCTACAGGGGGAACTTGGCAAATATCTGGGGGAATGGTATTGAAGTCCAGATACAAAGCATGATGAATGGACTGTCTGAATTCAGTGATGCAATCTCTGGCCTCTTCTGTCAGCTAATTTACTACAATGAGATCAGTAAAACTGAGGTTTTGAGTGATAAATAGATTTGAAGGGTGAAATAATATTAGTGGTTATTATTTTTGTCAAACCATTACCCATTTCTTTGCTGTGCACAGTCTACAGAGTGATACCCTGTTTACTCACCTCTGTAGTTTGTGCAACTGAGGAATGTCTTCACCTATGGAATTTATTCAGAAGTCTGTGAAAGGCTGAGCCCTATGAGCTAAACTGTCCTTGGGGACTGGAGGTTAACTGATACTGGAGGCTAACTCAAATTCCTATGGAAAAGCATTAGGAATAAACGAAATGTTTTATGACATCAGCATTTTGCTTTGGCTTCTTTGGGCCTTAGAAAACTGTGTTTCGGTCCCTCTTGGCAGCATATGATCTTTGGTCTTTTCTATTCATGCTTTGGGTAGGTGAAGTCTATGGCAGTTAGAATATTTACTGTTGCCTTTTTCACCCTGACTTTGCATGGGCATGACTCTAATTTGCTAGGCTTTGAATCATTCTGGAGTATCTTACATAATGCGTAAACTCTGACTGATTCCAAGTAAGTACTCCATTATGTTATCAGTTCTACTCATAAATAACTTTCATCACCTCACTTGATAATCTGAGTCTTTAAATGGTAACACCTAAACAGGTCCAAAGGTCAGCTGTTTTTCTCTCTTACTGATGGGTTATTCAGTTGTTTAAGCATGATTAAGCCAAGGCTCATTGCACTCTATTTTGCCTTCAATCAAAGTGACGGGTGTAGAAAAAGGCAAATTCTCTTTAGGTAAAACAGAATCAGACAAATCTTGCCTCAACTACTCTTGCCATGGTCAAATCTCTTCCATGCTTAAAAAAATTAACAACAACAATCATCACTTGACCTTATCAAACTGTCATCTTCTCTCAAGGTATCACCCACTCTCTCTTCCTTTTACAGCCAAACTCCTAGAAAAAAGTTATCCATATTCCATTCCTTCACTTCCTTTCCACTTACTAACTCTTTAACCAATGCCTTGAAATCTGGCGAGGATAGGTCACAAGGATGAATATAATCTGGCTTCCACCCTTCAACTTGAAACACGTCTCTCTAAAGTTACCAATGATCTCTTAACTGCCAAAATGAATGGCCATTTTTGGTCTTTATTCTTTTTTATCTCTTTGTAGCAGTTGATACAGCTGTCTACCCTCTCCTCCTACATACTCTCTCTTCACTGGGTTTTTGTGACACTGCTCTGTTTGTTTTCATCCTACCTGTGTGACTGTTCTTCCTCATGTCCTCATATCCTGAAGCTAAAAAAGAAGAATTGGCCAAGAGGGTTCGTGTGGCTTTGCTGGGTTATTTTGAATATGATGTCCCCAAATTAGGATATTCCTCAAGCCATGGGCTTCTTCTTCCTCTTTGGTGACCTCATAAGCTCCCATGCATTCCATTATCTTCTCTACATATTTGATTCTCAGATCAATGGATATTTAACTCTGGTTTCTCCTGAGATCCAGTCCCAAATCACCATCTTCTTATTAGACATTATGAATTAGTTGTTCTGTAGGCTCTCAAACTCAGCATGGGTAAAACATATCTAAAATACATTAGCTTCCCCATTAAAATCCATTACTCTCCATAACTTCCATATTTCGGTCAATGACACTGCTATCCTTCCAGTCCTAGTGGTTTGCAATCTCAAAGTCATCCCTAACTCTATCCTCCTTTATTCCACATGGCCAATTAGTAGCCAAGTCTTCTCAATACTACCTCTGCAATGTGTCTTGCACCCATTTCCTCTCTACTTTCTCAGCTAGTTTTAGCCCTCTATTGTGAAACAGAATCTATTAATTGGTTTCCCTGACTCAAGTCTATCCCTTCTCCAGGCCACCTCCTACATGATTGCCAAGGTGTTATTGCTGAAGAACAGTTCTGAATATGCCACTCCCTTGCTCAATAAACTCCAGTGACTCCCCTATTACCTCTTGGATCAAATACAGCCTCCTCTGTGTGGCATTTAAATTCTTCATGACCTGGCTCCAATCCACCTTTTTAGATTTGTTATACATAATTCCTCTTCAGTCTCTTTTCTATCTAGACCTATTGATCTTGCTCTTCCTCACATATTTCATTTCAACTCCTATCTTGGTACCTTTGCTAAGACCATCTTTAATGTCTGTAATTTCATTTTCATTTCTTAGAATCTTTACTATTCTTTAATATTCTCAAACACAACTACCTACATGAGACCTTTCCTGATCCCCTAGGCTAGTGCCTGTCCTACCCCTGCCCCTCCATTTCCTTGAATTTAGTTTTAACATATTCTGTATTTAATCTTGTCTCTCCTTAAATGTATAAATGTTGCTTTCCCCTATAAAATATAATTTTTTGAGGATAGGGCTTGTTTCATTTTTCTTTGTTTCCCTGCCATGTCTGGCAGATGGAAGGTGTTTAATACATGCTTATAGATTGATTAATAGAAAATAAACTAAAACAAATATGGAATTTTGTTTTATTTGATTCTTATGTCATAATCTGATGTAACTATAGAAAACCCCTTGAAATGAAAATGTCAATGTATTTTTATGTTGCAATAATAAAATCAAAGTGAACCAAGCTAGTGCCATTTGTTTTTTTATGTGGGCTTTGACTGCTGTTAGTATAATTTTAGTTTCCTTTTTATGGCTGTTACTTGGAGGAAATTATGCATAGTAGAATATTTTCAACAAAAAGTTCATACTAATAATTCTACTTTTAATTTCAAGTATCAAAGCATAGAGGAACAGAGGCAATATCACAGTGGGATTATCAGCTTTGGCAGTATTAGCCTCGGAATAGAAGTACTATCAGCTCTGGTGGTAATGCTTGGCATGGCAGGCCTCCAGGCCAGCTGGAGGATTTGGATGATGAGTTCCTGAAGCAGATCACATGGCTGGCATAGAGTCAGAATATAGTTGTGTTGGGGGACTTTAACTATTTGGACATCTGCTGCCCTCCCTGTGTTAAAAGCAAAGATGATAAATTCTAACTTGCTTTGCTGATAGGTTTTTTCTTCCATCTTTCAGCAGGTAGAGGTTGTTTAAAGTCTAATTCTCACCAAAAAAGAGGAACTGATTGAATTAGAAATGACAGGAAACTTGGCAGCTATCACGGCATTTTAGAATTTAAGATATTTAATGTGGATGCTGGGTATTGTCTGACACATGTTAACCTTTAAGAGAATATAATTCAATGAATTCAGAGATATATTAGATAAAATCTTACATACTAAGACTAGAAAAGGGGATTTGATCGAGAGGGATCATAGCCATTCAAGAACGAAATTCCAGTGTTTTAGTTATAATTGATTCTAATGAAGAAAAGGGTAAGGTGACTAATGAGACAAATGTTGTTTAGTCATGTTTGGCTGTTCGTGATTTCATTTGGGGTTTTCTTGGCAAAGATACTGGTGTGGTTTGCCATGTTTTCCCCTCCAGCTCATTTTAAAAATGTGGAACTCACACAGCCTGAAGCCAGATTTGAACTCAGGACTTCCTGACTCCAGGCCCACATTCTATCCATTGTGCCACCTACTCATCTATAAAGCTGCATAGGAAACTTACTGACATGTTAACTTTTTAAAAAGATGAATGCCAGCACCAATAAATGAGGATGAATATAAAAGAGTGGCAAAGTCCTGTGAAAAATGCAGAAATCCCAAAGCCCAGTAAG